ATATTCTATATTTGGGTATTACATCAACTTTGGCATTTTTGTGTCCCAAATGTATACTCCAAAACATTTTTATTTGAAAAATATCTGTAACCCACATAAAGTACTACTTAATCCATTGACAGCCCCAAAATACAGAATATTTTAAGATATGTAAGAGTAAACTTAAGTCATAATCTTTAGATCATCTGTTTACTAGAATTTTGTGCTCAACATTATATTTTGTATCAAAAAATGACAACCTTAATTACTTTTTAATTAGATTACAAACTAGTGCTGCATGTCAAATAATATTTTTTTTGTTCTCAAATGTTTGTGTACTTGAAAGAAAAAAAGTTAAGTATGGTGTGCCACAAGGCTCGGTAGTAGGTCCTCTGCTTTGCTCCTTGTATATAAGACATTATCAAACATGTTGAAAGTATGAAGTGTGAAAATTATTTCTGCATGCTCCCTGAACCACACTTCCACAATGTGAGCCTAATGAATCTAAGCATTGTTGTCCTGGAATAAGCAAAACATTTTGACCATACAGTCTGTATGAAATTTATTTGCAGACAAATGTTTGTCATTTAGTCTAGTCACGGTGTGAAAAAAGTTCCATCAACATGATCTAATATCATGAGCTAATTTAATCTTGTTTCTGCAGATACCTTTGGGCCATCTCGGCCATCTGAGAGCAAAGTACACAGCTGGATTGAGAAGCAGGGATGGATGGAGAATGTGCCAGATGCTGCTGAGTTTATGAAGGACTGGAAGCCTCCTCGAAGCATCCAGGCACCGACAGACAGGAAATCAATCCGTCAGATGAGCCGCAGGCAGTGCTGGAAAGGCTTGCAGCTAATGAACAGAGAAGGCAAGGGTCTCTGTGTGGTCACCAGCAGGCCGTTTGCTTGCGGAGAGGTGATCTGTGACTTCCACGGCCGGCTGATCTCCAGGGACGAGGGACTGCAGATCCACCAGAACACTGAGGCACAAGCTGGACATTTGTTTTTCTATACCAACAAGAATGGACAGGGCATGTGTTTGGATGCTCACGAGGAGCGCTGCCACTGCCATCCAAACAAATCTACGTTTGGCAGACAAATTAAACACTCGGCCAAACGCGCCAATCTCAGTCCTAGACTGCACTTTGTGGAGGATGACCCGGTCATACTTTTCATGGCCACACGGGACATTCAGACCGGCGAAGAGATACGCTATGACTATGGAGATAACAAAAGGTCCTTCGCTGGCGACGGTCTGGATCTGACGCCATCCTAAATCTAGATGGACATTATGTGGACTATGCACAGGCCTTCTGGAAAATATCTTTATTTAAATGGGACTTAATTGTCGTCCCGTTTTTATCTATATTGTTTGACAAATGTGACAACAGATAATCATATAAAACAATTACATTTAAAAAGCATTGATAATTTGTCCCGCTTGTCTTACTTTTATTCTATGCATTTATAAAATAGAGGTCTGTTCAAATAAAAGGAAAACCCGACGTCTATTTTGTGTTCTCAAAATGTTATATTTTCTGAAACTTTCTTCAGTTTGCGGAAAGGAAGACTGGTACATGTTAAATTGTAATTAAAGTTTCATTTTTATGTATTAGAATGAAGCTCATTCAAACTAAAACTCTAGTCAGAAAATATCTTTATTACAAAAGTTATAAAGAGTTGTGAAGGCACTAGAATGGTTTAAAATATATCTCTCTCACTCACACACACTCGCTATGACTATGGAGATAACAAAAGGTCCTTCGCTGGCGACGGTCTGGATCTGACGCCATCCTAAATCTAGATGGACATTATGTGGACTATGCACAGGCCTTCTGGAAAATATCTTTATTTAAATGGGACTTAATTGTCGTCCCGTTTTTATCTATATTGTTTGACAAATGTGACAACAGATAATCATATAAAACAATTACATTTAAAAAGCATTGATAATTTGTCCCGCTTGTCTTACTTTTATTCTATGCATTTATAAAATAGAGGTCTGTTCAAATAAAAGGAAAACCCGACGTCTATTTTGTGTTCTCAAAATGTTATATTTTCTGAAACTTTCTTCAGTTTGCGGAAAGGAAGACTGGTACATGTTAAATTGTAATTAAAGTTTCATTTTTATGTATTAGAATGAAGCTCATTCAAACTAAAGCTCTAGTCAGAAAAGATCTTTATTACAAAAGTTATAAAGAGTTGTGAAGGCACTAGAATGGTTTAAAATATATCTCTCTCACTCACACACACACACACACACACACACACACACACACACACACACAGAGGCAGGCAGCGAGCGTAATATGGCTTCAGCAGAGGACTTTCCCTTGAGGATCATTAAACGACTGAGAACTATTAAACATTACTGTACAGTTAGACGAGTGATAACTCGTAAGAATCTGAACGACACGAGACGAGGGGTGAGTAGATTTGGTCAGCTTGAGTCGAGCTCATGATCAAACAAGTCCCGATCCACCACTACATTAGACAAACTAACCTACAGATCATCAAAAACCCCTCTCCATCATAGTATCAAACACAACATCAGAAATACTGTATTTTGATATTATAGACATTATGAATAAGCAGTAACAGCTACTACTGTCATTGTCTTTCTCTGCTGTCTGTCACAGGTCCAGTAAGGCGGTGCAATATTCAATAAATTAATACTTCATTTAACAGTGTTTTACATCAATGCTAGTAAACAGCCAACATCCTTTGACTTCTTGAAAACATGAGTAACGAAAGCAGAGGAAGGATGATCTCTGCTGTGTCCATCGCTCCTTTCCACGCAGGAGACTCGAGTCCTCCTTCAGACATAAAACCCTAAACATTCACGTCACTCACCCTCATTATCTATTACATGTTCCATGCTGTTCTTTCACTGAACACAGAAGGAGAAGTTACAGAACAGCTCTTTTCCATGCGCTAACAGTTCACAGTTTCTGTTCATTCAAATGTTCGTCATCATTTTGAGTCACTATTATTGCAAACAAAGAGCTGCATGAAATGAGCTGGAAATTTCTCCCTTTGTGTTCAACAGAAGAAACACCAGCATACGAGCGTTTACTCACAACACAGAATTTTCATTTTTGTGTGAGCTAATGCAGAATGCTACATTCAACTAAAATCATGTTAGAAATACAGCGGGTAAAATAAGCGTTGAACACATCACCATCTTTCTCAGTAACTAAGTTACTAGTTTTCTAAAGGTGCTGTTGACATGAAATTTTCACCAGATGTCGGTAACAACCCAACTAATCCATACATACAAAAGTTCAGAAATTAAGTTATGTGTAATAAAATGGAATGTCACAGGGAAAAAGTGTTCTACCACTGAAATGCATTTATTACTTTGTACAAAAGCCTTTGTAGGCAATGACAGCTGTATGGAGAAACTAGTGGCATGCATTGCTCAAGTGTGATTTTGACCCATTCTTCCACACAAACAGTCTTCAAATCTTGAAGGTTCTGTGGGCCTCTTCTATGAACTCTGACCTTTAGTTCTTATTTTCTATTGGATTCAAGTCAGGTGATTGGCTGGCCATTCAGGCAGCTTTACTTTCTTTCTCTGAAACCGATCGAGAGTTTCCTTGACTGTTTGGGATCATTGTCCAGCCTCGTTTCATCTTCATCATCCTGGTACTGTAGGTGTTGGGACTGTATAATAATCATTTCCACTGACGAGGGGCAGAATTGCTTTCTAATTACTGATAGATTTCAGCTGGTGTCTTGGCTTTCCATGCCTTTTTGCACCTCCCTTTCTTTATGTGTTCAATACTTTTTTCCCTGTGTCATTCTACTTTATTACACAGAACTTAATTTCTGAACTTATTTGTTTTGCTTTCTTTGTATGTATGGATTAGTTGGGTTGTTACCCACATCTGGTGAAAATTTCATGTCAACAGCACCTTTAGAAATATAGTCACTGAGAAAAATGGTGATGTGTTCAACGCTTATTTTACCCGCTGTACAAATTATATTAATATTAACCTCATTGAAGAGCAATGCACCCAAGGCATTCAAAACACTGCAAAATGGTCTGAAAACAGCAGTTGTCCCATGGCTCATCGGGGCACGTGCAGGAGGCGAGAGGTGTGTCCTGAGAAAGCATCCCAGTTCCTCCAGAGCACAGCAAACAGGAGGAAGACCAGCAGCGAGGAGACGGAGCGGCTGCGTGTCTTCATCAGCGGCACCACACAGTTGGCGACGGTGGAGATGAAGACCAGCAGCACGGCCATGAGAGCCAGCAGCACGTTGATGAGTTTGCCCATGAGTGTGCGAGCCGTGGCGTTCTCCAGGCCCTCCAGCTGAACCACCTGCTGCTGCTGCTGCTGCAGCTCCATCTTAGAGACGCGCGTCTGACACGCTTCCAGAGCCTCCTGACACACACACACACACACACCGCAGGTCAGTCTCACACTAACACACACACAGACTGCTCGACTCCTGCACTAAAATAGCCTGGCATAATAATTACTAGTGTAGCATTACTCTAATATGCCATTTTGTTTACCTTCAACTCTGTCATTGTGTGTGATGATAATAACATTTATTAATTTTGGAGAAAAACTGAATAAGCTTTGGACTTGCTGACACAAGAAGAAGGGAATAGTTCACCCAAAAAAATTAAGATGTCCTGAAAATGTGCACATCCTCGGGCCATCCCAGATTAGGATGAGTTTGTTTCTTCATCAGATGTGGAGAAATGTAGCATTGCATCAGTGTCTCAGCAATGGATGCTCTGCAGTGAATGGGTGCCGTCAGAATGAGAGTCCAAACAGCTGATAAAAACATCACAATAATCCACACGTAATCCACAGCACTCCAGTCCATCAGTGAACATCTGGAGAAGACACAAGCTGAAACTAATCCAGCGTTTTTTTAACTAAAATACGAGTCCATAATCCATAGTAACTCTTCCTCCAGTGATCTCCTGTTGTCTTTCAAATATTTGTTCAGAGCTGTTTTGGCTTGTAAACGCTGCTTGATCTGTGCAGGTTTCTTTGTCCCATGGCTCATCGGGGCACGTGCAGGAGGCGAGAGGTGTGTCCTGAGAAAGCATCCCAGTTCCTCCAGAGCACAGCAAACAGGAGGAAGACCAGCAGCGAGGAGACGGAGCGGCTGCGTGTCTTCATCAGCGGCACCACACAGTTGGCGACGGTGGAGATGAAGACCAGCAGCACGGCCATGAGAGCCAGCAGCACGTTGATGAGTTTGCCCATGAGTGTGCGAGCCGTGGCGTTCTCCAGGCCCTCCAGCTGAACCACCTGCTGCTGCTGCTGCTGCAGCTCCATCTTAGAGACGCGCGTCTGACACGCTTCCAGAGCCTCCTGACACACACACACACACACACCGCAGGTCAGTCTCACACTAACACACACACAGACTGCTCGACTCCTGCACTAAAATAGCCTGGCATAATAATTACTAGTGTAGCATTACTCTAATATGCCATTTTGTTTACCTTCAACTCTGTCATTGTGTGTGATGATAATAACATTTATTAATTTTGGAGAAAAACTGAATAAGCTTTGGACTTGCTGACACAAGAAGAAGGGAATAGTTCACCCAAAAAAATTAAGATGTCCTGAAAATGTGCACATCCTCGGGCCATCCCAGATTAGGATGAGTTTGTTTCTTCATCAGATCTGGAGAAATGTAGCATTCCATCAGTGTCTCAGCAATGGATGCTCTGCAGTGAATGGGTGCCGTCAGAATGAGAGTCCAAACAGCTGATAAAAACATCACAATAATCCACACGTAATCCACAGCACTCCAGTCCATCAGTGAACATCTGGAGAAGACACAAGCTGAAACTAATCCAGCGTTTTTTTAACTAAAATACGAGTCCATAATCCATAGTAACTCTTCCTCCAGTGATCTCCTGTTGTCTTTCAAATATTTGTTCAGAGCTGTTTTGGCTTGTAAACGCTGCTTGATCTGTGCAGGTTTCTCTCCTGATTCACACCAGAACACTTTTTCACTGGAGGAAGCGTTATTATGGATTATGGACTCATATTTAAGTTAGAAACGTTGTTTCAGCTTTGGTCTTCTCCAGATGTTCACTGATGGACTGGAGTGCTGTGGATTACTTGTGGATTATTGTGATGTTTTTATCAGCTGTTTGGTCTCTCATTCTGACGGCACCCATTCACTGCAGAGCATCCATTGCTGAGACAGTGATGGAATTTCTCCAGATCTGATGAAGAAACATCTATGTGGCAGTTCACACCCACTAGCTAGTGTAAGTCAAGCTGTCTAGCTAGTATCCATTTGACCTCCGGGGCCATCATTGTGGGTCGTATGTTAAACACACACACCTGCAGGTCTCGGGCCCTCTCGTTGGACTGGTACGCGATCTTCTCCTCCATGCTGGCCAGCTCTTGTTTCAGGATCAGGATCTCGTTCTGGTGGAGCTCTGTCAGATCGTTCACTTGTTCCTCTAAGCGCTCACACCTACAGAAACACAACACAAGAAACACAGTCACTCCCTGTGCTCTGCGTCAAAGACAAACATGAGCGTGATTCTGCAGGAGAGTGTGTTTATGTGAAGGAATGAGACCTCGTGCATGTTTTGGTCTTTACTTATGTACACGTAATCGTCTCCAAGTGTGATGGAGCTTCACTGGTCTGAAGAATCCAGAGACAAAACCACAAACTGATAACTAATGGATCAGTTTTAAACAGCTTTAACACTCAATTTAAATGCACTTAATGGAAGAAAACAAGAGTTCTGTCATTTTTCCCCTCCTCACAAAGGCACAAAGCGTGAGAACAGTCACAAATCTCTTTTACATACAATAACCATTCATCGTGATTACAGCTGTAAGGCTCAACAAACATATGATACAGGCTCTAAAATCTTATATTCAGATTCAAGAATGGCCAGATTTGACATGTAATCTTAAAAGAGTGTGAGCACTGATTTGTGTATATATATATATATATACAGTGGGTACGGAAAGTATTCAGACCCCCTTAAAATTTTCACTCTTTGTTATATTGCAGCCATTTGCTAAAATCATTTAAGTTAATTTTTTTCCTCATTAATGTACACACTGCACCCCATATTGACAGAAAAACACAGAATTGTTGACATTTTTGCAAATTTATTAAAAAAGAAAAACTGAAATATCACATGGTCCTAAGTATTCAGACCCTTTGCTCAGTATTTAGTAGAAGCACCCTTTTGATCTAATACAGCCATGAGTCTTTTTGGGAAAGATGCAACAAGTTTTTCACACCTGGATTTGGGGATCCGCTGCCATTCCTCCTTGCAGATCCTCTCCAGTTCTGTCAGGTTGGATGGAAAACGTTGGTGGACAGCCATTTTTAGGTCTCTCCAGAGAGGCTCAATTGGGTTTAAGTCAGGGCTCCGGCTGGGCCATTCAAGAACAGTCACAGAATTGTTGTGAAGCCACTCCTTC